AGCCAAGAAGAAGCCACTTGCTGAACTGTGATTGGTTGAGGGTGGTTTACCAATCGCTTCAGGTGTGAAGTTCACAGCCAGGGGAACCTATAAAAGTATTGTGGGTATCTGCATGCATCATCTTTCTTCTTTCCATTAGCAAGAAAGAACCCAGCAAAGAGCATTCAAATTCTATTTTGGATTTTCTTCTCCCGTGAGAATTATCCTGCTTCTTTCTCCTTCCTCTAGCAAAAACAACAGGAGTTCAGCCATCAGCAAGCCAAGAAGAAGCCACTTGCTGAACTGTGATTGGTTGAGGGCGGTTTACCAATCGCTTCAGGTGTGAAGTTCACAGCCAGGGGAACCTATAAAAGTAATCATTCCAGGAGGGGATGGTGGTCGGGGTTTGGGATGGCTAGAATTTTTAATTTTTGCTTTTGCTTCTAAAGGTTCATAGATTAATGGCTTTCAATGATTGAGGCTGGTTAGAATTTTGAATTTTTGATTTTGCTTTCTCCAAAAGATTTCTCAGAGTAATGGCTGTCAATGAGTGAGGCACACCAACAATAATATCCGTACTCATTGACAGCCTCTGTGCACCTTTGGAGAAAGCGGCCTCACTCATTGACAGGCATTAATCTGTGAACCTTTGGAGAAAGAAAGAGCACACAATTCTCCGCATGCATTCTTATCGCCGGCTTGCTTCTTGCTGGCTTGCTTTCAGATTTTCTTCTCCAGAAACATTCCAGCTTGTTTCTCCGTTCTCGTGTAGAAACAACAAGAGTCAGATATCAGGAAAATAAGAAGAAAATTACTTTCTGAACTCTGATCGGCCGCTGATATCTATAGCTTCCAATGATAACATCTAATTAATTATTCACTTACTGTATGGCTAAATTGGATTTGAGTAGGAAGGAGGCTGTAATCTTCTGTACTCAACATCTTTGCTCCCGAATCCATAATTGTTGCATCTCTCATCATTAAAAAATCATTTGTCTGTTGACGGGTGGGAGGGGGAGGGGGCTGGAGGTTGAATTTTTAATTTTTGCTTTTGCTTCTAAAGGTTCATAGATTAATGGCTTTCAATGATTGAGGCTGGTTAGAATTTTGAATTTTTGATTTTGCTTTCTCCAAAAGATTTCTCAGAGTAATGGCTGTCAATGAGTGAGGCACACCAACAATAATATCCGTACTCATTGACAGCCTCTGTGCACCTTTGGAGAAAGCGGCCTCACTCATTGACAGGCATTAATCTGTGAACCTTTGGAGAAAGAAAGAGCACACAATTCTCCGCATGCATTCTTATCGCCGGCTTGCTTCTTGCTGGCTTGCTTTCAGATTTTCTTCTCCAGAAACATTCCAGCTTGTTTCTCCGTTCTCGTGTAGAAACAACAAGAGTCAGATATCAGGAAAATAAGAAGAAAATTACTTTCTGAACTCTGATCGGCCGCTGATATCTATAGCTTCCAATGATAACATCTAATTAATTATTCACTTACTGTATGGCTAAATTGGATTTGAGTAGGAAGGAGGCTGTAATCTTCTGTACTCAACATCTTTGCTCCCGAATCCATAATTGTTGCATCTCTCATCATTAAAAAATCATTTGTCTGTTGACGGGTGGGAGGGGGAGGGGGCTGGAGGTTGATGTTGGTGAAGGCAATTCACCGTGGTCCACCCAAGGATGCTCTTTGTATATTTATCAGATTCTTCAATGAAATTAATACCTGTTCCTAAACGTAAACTGGTTAGCAGGTGGGATAAAGGTGCCACTCATTTCATTGCCACGCAGCACATGCAGGGCTACCATGGGTGCTTGGACCTAGTCATATTATTTTGTGTTTTCTGGACTCGTCCAGGCGTACAGTTGTTTGAAAATATATAGTTGACCCATACATGCAGTTCTGCTTGTCATCACAGCTACAGTCCTATCAACTCTAATGATAGGCGCCTCTCCCCTTGTCACTGCAGTTCTCTAATCCCTTATTGGTGTCAATTGCCAAAGTGAGAATGAAGAATTATGACTTTGACTACGAGGAAATAGTCTAAGTGTACTGAAGAAGTATTTCTGGGCCAGAAACATACATGTGCATTGCCAAAGCTGCCAAGAACAGACAACCTGGAAATTCCTGATCACATGGGGGAGGGGTGACTAGAAGTATTACCCGATTGAACTATCACACTGGCTATGATTGTGAAAAGTCACCGGAACTTGAATTCAATGCACTCCTTTTAAACTCTGGAATTTTGCTGGTAAAATGCCTCCAGTCTCGGGAAGTGCACTATCACTGAAACCGGAATCAGATTTGGTGTTCACTGAATTCAAACAAGACAAAGAACGAACCTACACTCGATAGACGTAGGGCATAGAGCTTGGGCATAAGCCTTGGCGGACAATACTCAAACAATTACCGGATTATGCTCGAAAAGCAGTGAAATTGGCAGAACTATACAAGGACTATGGAGGGCACCCCTCGAATTCTGCTCCTCTCCTTTCCCCCTACACCGGCACATGTACTAAACATTAAAACAAGCATACATACCTGTGCATGAAAATTGCCCAATTCTGCGGGTTTCTGCCGGCATTATTCACCAAGGGTTAAAGAGTGAGGGGTTTGAGCGAAGACTCGGGTTGTTCTTTGACTCTGAGGGCGAGTGGTCAGACTCGCAGTCACAGCTCAGGGCTCAGGCAGGTTTGAAAAAACCTAGTTAGTTGGAAGTAAGTCCGGCGAGTTCTTCTGCTTCTCGTCACGGCCTGCACAGCGAGATAGACACTGGCCGTTGCTGTACATGTACTGCACTGCGACTCGGACCTCCAGGAGCAGGCCCCTCGAAGAGCAACGCAAGTAACACGTTAGTTACGGAGACAACAATGTCCGCCTGTGGACCGAGATGCAGCTGCACAGGAAAAAGCAGATAAGAAATATGCAGGAATAGGGCACCCTGTAAGAAGACCTTAGGGTCTGTTGGGAATGCCCAAGTAAAAATTAATAATAAAATACAATACAATACAGGAGTTTAGAACATCGTACAACTTGTACAACCAGAATCCGTCCTCTTCAATTTCTACAATACATGTATCTGCACTATTATAGTACGTGAAGCGCAGTGGTGTCTTATCTAGAGCCAATGCAGTATCGAGCATATCGTCCACTCACCGCAACAGGACGGAGGACCTGCATGGGGACCACTCAGAAAGAAGAAGACGCAAGAAGTCCGACGCCAACGATGCTGTCCTGACCTCCTGAAGCTGGAGACGGGTAAAAACTCCGCTAGGGAATTGCTTCTCGTTTTATTCGCTCCTCCAGCAACTACACGTGTATGAGGTGCTGTGATTTTGAACAAGTCACCCTCTCTCACCGGCACTCTTTCACACGCTGGTGTCGGTGGTGAGAAGTGCCCCTATCTCTTGCAAGGCTTGCAGTGCCTAGCGCCTTCACACTGCACTGCGCGCCTTCACTCTTGCGAAGCCTTGCCACCGCCCCCAGTCTGATGTGTAGTGACGTTAGCACAGTGACGTCAGTCATTCTGCACTGAATCTGCAGGCAGCCCTGAGACGGCTGAGTGCGCATCACCCCCCCCCCCCCCCCCCACACACACACACACACCACCATCACCACCACACACACACACCCCTCCTCCACCAAGCGACCTGCAGCTACAACATACAGTCATGTACGTGTAGAGTGCACATAGACCACCCTTTTCAGGTGATCTACGGATATTTCCCCTCGTTTGAGGGGATTATGGCTCATAATCCCCTCAAACGAGGGGATCTCATATCCACAGGAAATCCTGTGGATCCCCTCGGACGGTGGGTCGGACCCAGTCCTTCTACCAGCATAACCAAGAGAGCTAGCTCCCTTGGCTGCTGCTTGAATATGCAAGAATGGGCCTTCCAGATAAGGTCTAAAAGGGGAAGTGGCTATTTTTACATAATCATTGTACCTAAGTACGTGATTGTGCATAATAATATTATGATATTAGTGGGAATTCCTGGATTGCTTGAGCGACACATCAACACTACACTGCAAGGATGGAGCAATACCAGGAAGGTAGAACTATAGAAGAGAACGGTGACAACAGTTGCAGCACTGAGTTTAATGCGCCTAGCCAGGCTAGGACAATCCCCAGACAACTACATGATTGTAACAGCATAGTAGTGGAGAACAAAGGACGTGCAGATGCTATAACTATAGCTGTTGCGAAAGTAGAGACGGTCGCGACAGTATGGTTGGCAAGGAGTCCACCCCCACCACCACCACAATGCCATGTTAATATTATCAAGGAACTCATGAACTGCACAGTGCAGCAGCAGCACTGAATACACCTTCCAAATCTCACACAGACAGTCAGATCGCAGCCACTCACACAGCTAGCATGCCGCTAACATAGCTAGCAGGCCACTTGCGCCATCATAAAGTCATTGCAAGTGCAAGCAGTCCACTAACTATTCCTTGGTCTGGTGAAATTTGACAAAACGAATACGGCTACATGTGACAATATCCAACTTATCATTCTGAAGAAGACAACCGTCCGAGCGTGAATAACGTGTTATAATTATCAGTATCAATCAGCCTAGTCTAGCTCCTGTGGTGTACGCTCATCCATCGTTGCAACTTGCAACTCCATTTGTGGTAAGATTGCTATGTGTTTTACTTGTAAAGATGAATCACTCAATCTCCGGCAAATGCACAAACAGCGGACACGATCACAGGTCAACATTGCTGACGATGTCACTGCTGCTCATAGCATAGTGACGGGTGGAATTCAAGTACATGTACGCGTGTTATCTCAACATGTCCGTCAGCATCAGCATCGCACACCGGCAACGCCACAGTGCTCGTGCGGTGTCAGTGTCAGCTCAGGGTAGCAGTAGTGCGGGAATGCAAACACACAATCTCTCTGGCTCTGGAGTAACAGACGGGTGAAGTGCAGAGCTTTGCGCAGGTGTGCGTGAAATATTCAAGGTTACGATTCATAACAAGTACATGTAGATGTGAGTGTGTGTGTGTGGGGGGGGGGGGGGGCAGGGGGTGTCTCAACGGTCTACAGATTACGATAATTAGCAGATTTGCCTCAAAACTCTACAAAAGAACACCTGAAGAGAATAATTCTGGAATTTGGATCCATCGATAAAGGTGATCCAGCTGTTCTGCAAATACCATACAAACACTTGTAACCAAATCTATAAGTGTATTTACGCTTCTATCTAGAGTCTAGCTACGACTGCAGTCCTTGTGAGTCGTTGAGTGAGGTCCTGGGAGAAAGGGGCTGCTGTGGCTCGTTGCCCTAAGTAAGCAGAGCCACTGAAGTGCGCCCGTGCAATCCCATAGTCTAGGCCGGAGATGCACACCGCATGCACACAGGAAGAATAGTCTTCAGAGACTCGGTGCACATCCGCCGCTTGCACAGCGTAGCACGGCTTTATAGCCGCCGCACAGTCAGAACAGTCTGCCGAGCATCGGGCGAGAAAGCAAACTCTTTGTTAGATGACAGAGCCACCCACCCGGCACTCCGACCAGTGCAACATCATGGTGGTGCCACGCTATGATCAACCGTCGTCATAGCAACACCAAAGGCATCGCGGCTGTACACTGTTGCCATAGTTACCAATGCGTGCTATCGGCAACCGCACTCCACGGCCTCCAGGCCGGGAAAGGAGGAGATGACGACGGAGTCATCGTCGTCGCGGTACATCAGCTTCACCGGCGCCATCTTGGTCGGGACACAGCTGGCGGCCGGTACGTAGTCGGGGTCTCGCAGACTGAGCAACGTACGCAGAATTGCGTGAGGTGACGGGTTATAGTGATGCAGAGGCCACGGGCACATACCCACGCAGTAACCAAGGTTGAACCGTCGCGGCGCTATCACCCACCGATCCCACGCCAGCTGCTTCAGGTCGACGACGAGGCGCTCCAGATGGCAGGCGGTGCGGCTCTGCTGCTGCAGCGTCAGTAGGGGACGTTTCGGTGCGGCGGCGGCCCGCTTGCTGCGTTTCCTCTGCCTCGTTGCTGCTGCATTGCTGTGCTGGTCGCCGGGGACTGACGATGAGTTGCTGCTTTTCCCGTGCCCTGTTGCGCTGTGCGTGTGTGACTTGGCGCGTTTCTTACGCCGGCCAACCGTGATTTGTCCCCGCGACGGTAGGGGCAAGGTGTCCCCGAGGTCCTGCCCCACCTCCAGCCACTCCTTGCGCTGAGGCACGGCGTCCAGGTACGAGGGCTGTTCGCCGGCAAAGTCGGCTAGGGTCCTATTGCTGTGCGCCGTGCGTGGGTGTTGCGTGGGCACTGGCGGCAGGTCGTCGGTGGCGTTGGCACGCAGCAGAGGGCGATGCACCGACAGACTCTCGTTGGTGAGAGCGTTGGGCGGCCGGTACTCGTACTCCCACGTTTCCGTCGACTTGTTCAGCGTCGACCAGGCTGCCACCGTCTGTGTTGTCGGTTCAGCAGTACGTGCGCACGCATACACGCACACACACACACACACACACACATACACACACACACAGCAGAGAAACAAACAACGCACAACACTGCTGATACCGTGACAGAGAACATATGACACTAGTTCATAATGGCACGAGAATTTTATTTAGACTGGGAAATGAAATGAAATCTCCGAGGATCTAGGATAATATATATCTCAGCATTTTGGCACTAGCTCCGGATATGAACACGAGTTAGCGCCTCCTTCAAAACTCGTTAAACAGTGAAGTGCACATTCCAGCATAGAACGTAAAGAGTTGACAGAACCAAGGGGAAGACATGACAATACTCGTACAGCGGGGAGCCGGAGCAGCGTGCTGATGTAGAGAGTGGCTTCACATCTTTGTCATGTTACTGTTAGGTACGTCCTCCCGTACATTCCACAGCCTTTACTAGCTGGCCTGTAATGCTGTGTTGCACTCCGTACGCACTCACTGTTCATTCCATTGGCCTGGGTAGCTACTTGCGTGCCCCGCATATTTGCCATAGCTAAACAGGCGCTTTATCTTGCATTCTCTCTTGCTCGATCTCCCTCTTCAATAATGTAGTCGTGCGTCGTTTTTCTCCGGCTCTTCGTCTCCCATAATAAATGTCTTTACTCCTACCTATCCCAAGTTGTTCCATTGTGTCTGGGAGAACGACTCCTTTTAGTATCTCAACATAAATAAATTTGTGCAGAATGTGATCCTGGCATGTGGACAGTTGAACCAACATGGCCGACGTCATGTGACCCACAGATACAGGGTTTGTGTGGAGCTGGAACCAATATGGCTGTCCCGTATGGTCATGTGACAGGTACGCAAGAGAGAGATTGGAAGCTTTGTTACAACTCTGAGTTTCACGTATTACTACGATCATCAGGCAAGGATTGTCTGATGATCGTAGTAATACGTGAAACGCACAGTTGTAACAAAGCTTCCAATCTCTCTCTTGTGTACAAGGCTCTACCCTACATGGGTATGGAGCACTCTTCGGACAGTGAAGCAAACCACTTGACTACATGTGACAGATGTGAAACCACATTATTGGGCCAACCTCCCCCGACCTTGGGTTGATTGTTAAGTGTCTATACTAGCATAGAAAACAAGCCTATAGTGTTCCACTGACCTCGACTCTCTGCGCATTCAGTGCGTCCAGTTCTCCATCAGGCACGTCAAGGCTCTCCACCCCGTTTCCACGACGATGAGTGCCGTCGTAGACCGTCGACATGACCAGGAGCTGTGCACGGTCTCCTTCGCCTTCCTTTGCAAACGTGAAATGAGTTACGGCCCGAGTTCTGATCTGAAACATTGAACAATAATACACAAAGGCGAACGAGGAAATATGGGAAATCACTTCAATGACATTTAAAAAATAATGTAGTCGTGTATAAAATATGACTTTTGGGGGGAATTTTGCAGGCTTCTACTTCTAAGTTCTACATGAGACAGGTTTCTATACAAGACTGGTATTTCTATGTATGTCAACACTAAAACCAGGCTTATGTTCAGACAGTGTATTTTGAAAGTCAGGCATTTTTCAAAACAGGCTTCTATACGAGACACTACGGTAAGGGGCCGTTCACACTGAGGTAAAATTCGAAACAAATCCGTGGTTGCCATGGACATTTGCCGCTGTGCGGGAGACTTGAGAGATTTAATCCACTCGATGAAAATCAGCTCGAGGCCTCGCTTTTCCGCTGAAGATTATAATCATCCGCGGCTTCCACTGGATTTCTTTGAGTTTCCTTGTTTTTTTATTGCGTTATGAAGTGGAGCGATACTCTAGAGGCTGTGCTGGCCCAGGAGCAGGGCTGACAGACTGCCAGAAGTGAGTGGTGACAAAAACATTGCTCGCGTGAGTGAGATTTGTTTCATTGTGTGTATGCAGTGTGGCCGTGAGGAAAAGCAGAAAAAAAGTATTCCCGGTTTATAATCTGAAGATTGTTCTCTCAATGTGACCGGCCCCTAAACGGCCTGAAGA